AATAACTAAGAAAGTAAATGACACATTTCTTATTAATTGCTTTTACTGTTTGGGTAATATACATACTTGGCGTCCTTAAGGGAACATTTAAATTAATTGACTCACTCTAATCTGAATTATGTGTTTTAATTTGTTTAAGGTTGTTAAAATAACTTAAACTGCCTGTGTCAGTGTAATAATTAAAATATTAGCTGTTTTTGGCTGGAAAATCTCTCAATGTAAAAATGTCTAAAAATAGAGTGGAGGTGGATTGGGCAGTCTGCAGAAGAAAAAATCATCTCAGTTAAGCCAAAAACATGGCAACCAATATTTTCTGTTACAAAGATATTTTAGATGGAGCTAGTTTTTAAGAAAGCTGCCCGAAACTGAAATGAATAGCAGTTCTGTTTATTCACAGAGCAGTAATAACAATGCCCGCAGCACAAAGCACACGTCTTTTCAGTGCCCAACCCACTGCTTCTGATCCTTTGGGGAGCCAGCCCAGTCTGCCAAGCAGGGGGAGGAGTCAGTACCCGGTTCTGTTCTGAGATATTAGCCTTCACCTTGATAATGCTTGTCAACAACAAAACGCCAGGAAGAGCCTTTTCAGGAAACTGATTTCAACTGTCCACTAGAGGCTGTAATGAGACCAACAATGTCACTTTAGACCAACCTGGGGTTTTAAAATGTAGCAATCATCGCGTTTTAAACGGGGGGGAAAAAAAAGTTGTAGAACCCAGTAAGAGTGAACAGTAGTAGTTTTCTTTTCTTTTTTCTTTTTTTTTAAATTGCCGTGTATATGTGCATGGTATTTCAAAATGTGGGAAAAAAAAATGATTTCCGGGGCTCTCCACCTTCCTAGTTGTTAGTATGCTTATTTTTATTTCTGTAGCACGTTGGCTCTACGATACAGTTGTTTAAAAGCTGACACATTTCTCTTGGTGATTCTGTATCCTGCTTCAGTTGGTGACTAACCGTTAGGTCACAAGGAAACTCAGCCAAAGGTTTCTCCAACACAGCTTACAGTCAATAGCGGCTTCCAGGGAGAAACTTGGGTGGAAAGATCATGTTTCTAGACACTTGGTTCTAAGCACCTGAAAGAGGTCAAATGCTGCCCCGACACCTACTGGTCTTCCAGAATTATCTGCAGCAAGGAGACCGCTGCGCTGAGCTCCCTTCAGCATGGAGGTGCCTTCGCTTTTCTCCAGGCGCCACACCTGTTGGCAAGGGGCACCCCTGCACTGAAGATTCCTTCCCACTGAGAGCTCACACCTGGTGGTGGTACACGCGGAGAGGGCGGGGTGGTGGGCCGTTGAGAAACGCGTTTTACAACTGAGCGCAGAGGAAGTTCCTCCGTGTGGATTCACGAGAACTGCCATCTGATGCTCGGTTTGCTTTCTGTATCTCCTGCACTGGTTACCTCATTTCCGATTAAATTAATGATCCCGAATTAGCTGCGAGAGGAGTGCGCGGGTCGTCTTCCAAGGCTGGGGCCGGGGACTTCAGTACCCAAAGCAGATTTCCAGACCTGCAGAAAGCGAAAGGGGAGGTGGGGGCAGGGAGGGCACCCGTTTTCAGAGGCAGGAAAGGTGACGGTGCACATGCAGTCGCGGGGACCCTTCAAACTTTCCTGAGTTGCACGCACAGGCAGTCCGCGCAGCCCCGCGGTCCTGGTTCCGGAACGAAACCGGTTTGGGGGTTAACGTGCACGACGATCCGAGTCAGCCCTCTTAGACGATTCTCGGCGCGCCCGGGACGAAGGGCACGTCGGGATCACACTTGACCACCCCCCCTTCCCGGGGTGGGTATTTCGCCGGCTGCGAGCTAAAGCCTGACACCCCTCCGAGAGTCCTCCAGGGCGCCCTGAGTTGCACCCCGCTGTCGCTCTGTCCCCTCCAACTAGGTGCAGGGACCCGAGGAGGCGCGCGAGGACCGACCGGTCACCGCTAAAATTACCTCATCTCTCCAGCTCCCCGCCCCTTTCCCAAACCTGGAAGAAGCGTCCCCTCCGGCCGGAGTCGCACCCCCCGCCCCCCGCTCCCGAGCCAGTCTCTGGCCACACGCCGCCTCCCCGGGGGCCGCCAGGCCCGGGCAGCACGCAGCCAAGGGTTAAGGGCGCCGGCCGGTCGGTCGCCGCGCGGTGCGCTCGCGGTGCTCGGAGCCGCTCGCCCCGCCGCCCGCCAGAGGGTGCCCCCCCACCCCCAAGTCGGATCCTTAAGCTGCGGCGGCGGCAGCCAACTGCTCCATATTTGGCTTCTATTACACATTTACATACTGGAGCGAGCGAGCGAGCGAGCGCGAGAGAGCGCGAGGGAGGGAGGGCGGGCGGGCGGAGGGAGGAGGGAGGGGAGGGGAGCAGGGGGGGTAGGAGGAGGAGGACGAGGAGGAGGAGGAGGAGGACGAGGAGGAGGAGGAGGAGGAGGACGAGGAGGAGGAGGAGGAGAGAGCAGAGTATACCGCAGACATCATTTCTACTACAGTGGCGGAGCCGTACAGGACCTGTTTCACTGCAGGGGGATCCAAAACAAGCCCCGCGGAGCAGCCGCCAGAGCTACAGCAGCCGCAAGACACTGTTTCTCTCCCTCTGCCCCCCCTTCCCCACGCAACCCCAGATCCATTTACACTTTACAGTAAGTGGCTATTTTTTTTCTCCTCTGATTCTCTCTTCCCCCTCCCCCATCCCCTTCGCCCCTTATTTAGATTAAAATTTGCCCCTGCCCCCGCTCTCCAGAGAGGGGCAAAAGCAACAACCAGCAAACAAACCCCAAACCCCAGTCGCCGGCACAGAAAACAGCTGGAAGAGGAGCGAAGGAAATCGACGCGTCGTGTTGTGTTGTGTGTGTGTGTGTGTGTGTGTGTGTGTGTGTGTATGTGTGTGTACATACAACCTTCTCCCGCTCCAGCCTCCCGGGCCGACACCCCCGCTCGGGGCGCAGGGACTGACTGCAGGGGGCTGCCGGGCGGGTGGGCGCCCGCCAGGCGAGGGGGCGCGCCCGGGCTGGGGGTGCGGGCGCGGGCGCGGGCGGGGAGAGCGGCGGCGGCGCCCCGCTCCGGCGGCTGCCGGTCCGGCCGCGAGTGCGGAGAGCCGCGTCCCCCTCCCTCGAGGTGGCGTAGGGGTAGCGGCGGCGGCGGCGGCGGCGGCGGCGGCAGCGGCCGGGGTCGCGCGCTGCCCTCTCCTCCCGCCGCCCCCTCCTCAGCCCTCTCCCCACGGAGGGCGGCGGAGCGAGTGGGTCTGGAGGAGGGCCGGGCTTCCCCGCGGGTGGCCGCCCGGCCTCCGAGCCCGGGGCGGGGGTCTCCCCGCCCGGGGCGGGGGTCTCCCCGCGGAGGCCGGCCTCGCCGGGTGTGCGGCTGCGGGCCGGGACTTTGCGCGCGGCCGGGTGCCGGGCGGTGGGAGCGCGGCGGGCGCGGAGGGGTGGGCGCGGGGGGGAGCCGACGCGCGGGTGCCGGCGGCGCGGCTGGAGCGGCGGCAGCGGCCCTGCTGTAGCCGCCGCCGCCACTGCCGCCCTGTTGGTGCGGCCGCTTCCTGATCATGTGCAGCCGCCGCCGCCCGGAGCCGGCAGCCCGCGAGCGCCCCAGCCCGGGCCGGCGCCCCCGCCAGCGGCCGCGGCAGGAGCGGAGGAGCGGCGGCGGGCGCTGCCCTGCCGGCGCGGGGAGTGAGCGGCTGCGCGGCTGCTGGGAGGGTGAATGAAGCCAGGAGGAGGGGAAGGAGGAGGCGGCGGCGGCGGAGGAGGCGCTGCGGGGACTGGGATGCGCCCTGGAGCCCCGCGGCTCGTTCACTCTGGGCCGGGCCGGAGACTCCGCCACTCCCGCGGCCGCCGCCGCCGCCTCCTACGTGGTTCCAGCGCTGCGAGCAGGCCGGTCCCGCAGGGGGCAGGGAAGGGGCCGGCCGGGCGGAGCGAGAGGTGAGGCGGCGGCGGAGCGCGGCGTGAGTGTGAGTGAGTGCGTGCGCGTGTGAGTGCTTGTGTGTGTGTGAGTGTGTGTGTGTGTGTGTGTGTGTGCGCGGGGGGGGCGGCGAGGGCCGTCGCGCTGGGGAGCGGCCCCTCGGTGGCCACTTGGCTGACTCTGCGGCGCCCCGACCCCTCCCCAGCCCCCCGCCCTCGGGCCGCCTTCTTAAACTCCCGGGCTTGTGCTTTCATTTTATTTCCGACCACGTAGGGGGCTGACTGGAAGCGGTGGAACAATTCAGGTTTTCTGGGGAGATTGAGCAAGGACCTTAGTGGGGGGTGGAAGTAGGGTGGTGGTGGAGATCTTGCCAGAAAACAACAACCAAAAAAAAAAAAAAAAAAAAAATCAGTTTCCAAGGACCGTGGGGTTCGGTTCAACCCTGTGGCTGTTCTGTTTTGTTTTGCTTTCCTAGTATATAATCCTGCAGATAAGAGGGTAATATAAATACTTCGGGAGATTGGGAAATTGCTGAAGAGTAGTAAGGGCAAAAAAAAAAAAAAAAAAAAAAAGCCAGTCGGAAGCTGGTTATATAATGCGAGATGTGGCTAACGAGAACGGCAAGCTATTTTTATTTTGTTTACCGTATGCTGTGCAGTAGGGACTCCTCCAAACTGGTTCTGTCCCCAAAGAGATTCTTAGCTTCCCTGCGAGATCCACAGGATACAATTAGTAAAATTGGAAGACCCTAGTACACCCACAGAATAAAAACTACCGCCTTAGAGTGGCCTGCTCCCTGCACACCCCTTCGTGCATGCAGGGAAATGTGTATATGCAAATAAGCTCTCCTTTGGCAATCTAGTAGTCCCATCTCAATGACATTTGTGTTTTGTAATGCAGGCTGTTCTTAATATTTAAACATTGTGGGTACATATCGCACAGAGCAGTGGGTAGTTACTTGATGGTTATTTTTAGGCATAGCTAGTTACTTTTCCAACCCTGTTAGGGAAGCCACTTCTCTTTGGGTTTCTCAGGAGTCCTGCAGTTCCTAGAAGCGCGCCCCTCCCCCCCAGCCTTAGCCCACCCTGGGGTTTATTAGTAGTGGGGTACTTGGGTTTTTTTTTGTTTTGGTTTGGTTTTGGTTTTTTGTTTGTTTGTTTGTTTTTTGGTGGAATGAAGCCTAACCACCAATCCCGCACATGAACTCCTGGAAAGGGGTTGTACCCTAACAGCTAATGCTGTGGCATTTAATCTCCTCCGACTGTCCTACGACTGTGTGCGCCTCAGTCAATATTTTAGAAGCTCCGCAGACAAATGGGCTTGGGGGCTGCCTTCTGGGTACAGCTGAGGGCGAAGGGCTCCCCGGAGCCTCCTGGCCGCCCATGTTTCTCTTCCTACAGATCCGTGTCAGGGGTGTAGGTTTTCCCTGCACTTACTCTGCGGATCACTCCTGTAATTAGATCAGGCTGCCATGGCAACAGACAGTGTGCCTCGTCCATTCAGGTGGGTTTGTCTCTAGTGCCTGGACCACTCCAAGTGTTTCATGCACGGTGTTTGCGCCGTTCCAGTGGAGGACAGACTTCACTCCCTCAGTTGTGGCGTCTTTCAGTCATTTGGCTGGGAGACACCGAATGAGACCTCGAAGCCACTCAACTTTTGTAAAGGAGACCCACAAGCTGGTCTTGCTGGGTGCGGTATGTGAGCGCCTCTCCCACACAGTGAAAGGGGCCTGGTAGGCCTGCTGATGTTGATTGTGAACAGACCAACAAGTATTTGGTACTTGTTAGAAACCTTTCAGAGCTTACTCAAGCCACATTTCTTTTGCAGTCTGGTGCCTTTGGCCTTGTGGGTACTTAACCCCTTCAAGGGGGAGAGCACCCGTCCCTTAGAACCTATGGTGTCTGTGGCCAAGGACCGGGATTCTAAAGGGTTGACTCGGTGGAAGTTGTTTATTTAGGAATGATCTCTCCGTTGTCACATTTCACAACTTCACCGTGACAATAGCCGCTCTAATACCAAAAAATGGGACTGACTGGAGAGGCCATTCTGAATGGGTATGTGTTTAATTTGGACTTCTTGGCCATCCTTAGTCTTCACATCTGTAAATTCCAAGCTTCTTCTCTCAGGTGAGAGATGATAGAGGCCTAGAGCTTGGGGGCGGACGATGGGTGATGCTTTTACACAGGAAGCAACTTGCACTGTGATATATAATTTAATGAGCATTCAATAATTTAGAGAACAGCCACTCTCCTCTTTGCATTAGGGCACCCCCTCATTAGGTTCACCAGACAACGAAAAATAATAATCCTGTTGCCGAAAAATAAAAAGGAAAGAAAAGTAAGTAGCTTTGGTGGCTGAAGCTTTTGGGGCACAGGCGAGCCACCTGGGGTGGGGAGGTATTTTAATAATCTTCATATAGGAAAGAGAAAGTGATTGAGAATAATGATGTCTTGATTTGGTCGTGATCCTGCCAGAGTCTGTTTCAGTTTTCAGTTTTATAGCCCCATAGCTAAATTGGTAAGTCCTTTTTTTGGCCTTGGAGCTAAGATTTGTTCTCCGCAGGGGGGGGGTTACAACTTTCTACCATTTAGCAAGTTTATGTGGTTGCTAACTTGATTGTGGCCTGTTCAGATCAAGTGCTTCTATGGTTAAAACAAGCTATCTACCCCCACCCCCAGGATGTAAATAGATGGGAAGCAAGGATGTGGAGTAAAGCACAGAAGTTTAAGTTTTACACACTTTGGAGGTCCTGGATTATATTTTGCAATATGCAGAAAATCTCTTGCAGTAAAACGTGAATGTGTATTTTTGAATGCAAAAATAAGTATGAAAATGTACTTGATGGGGGACTGTGAAAGTCAGTATTTTCCTCTCTAGATTTCGTTTTAAGAGGGTTTGGTTCACAGAAGTGATACTTTGTGGGGAAAATTATAACTAGGCTCCAGGGCCTCTGAATTGTCTTTTAGTCTTAGGGATGCAAGAAAAACTCTTAGCCGTCAGATTCTATGTCAAGTGCCTGTCGAAGGCCTTACATTTCATTGTCTGTGAGTCCTGGGAAAGGCCAGCCCTGAGAGATTATTAAAACATTAGTAAACACATTTCTATGACTCCTGTGTTTGTTGTCATTACAGAGTTTAAGGACTCACATTCCTTTTGTGTAATATGCCTTTATTTATTTTTTCCATTCTGAAATGTCAAGAGGAGTTTACTTGTGCACTTACCTTGAGTGACAGTTTCTGATGACTAACACGTCGTAACAGCAGCTCATTTTGTTTCCTATTAGAAGTTAGTTGATAAATATATTTTATTAAAAGCCAAAAATTCGTGGAGGAGTGAATGTTAATTCTTCCAAATATAGCTGTGAGCAGGTTACCCATAGTTTCAACTCCGAAAACTGAAATAGTTGCATATTAACGTGACCCGTAGGAGACAGAGTGGACACCGTTTTTAGGGTGGACATAAATAATTTGATTTCCATTGCTTTTTATTTTCAGAGTTTATTCAGTAATTTGAAAGGTTGGCTTCTGTGAGAGCTTTAGACATGGACAGGCTTAACTGCTTCAAAGAACAGATTTAGTTCCGGTCATACTTCCAAGGTTATCAGAAGCAAGCCCTCCTTATTTTGTAAAAGCATCGAGAATAATACATTGTAGAAATCTCAGTAGAGATAATCATTTCTGTCCCAGGGTGTTCCATACAGGACTGCCCATTTTTAAGAATGAATCTTGCAGTCCTCAATTATGCTGTTCAAATTTTGGTTTCATTGAATTCAGTTTAATAAAATACTCACTCAACATGTCTTTAAGGGATGATATAATAATGAGCATACTGAATGCTGTTTTAGAGAATATTTTTAAATGTTGGCTGAGAGCGTTGTAATTGGATCAAGGTTCTGAAAAAATATATATACATGCTTAAAATTGTAGGAGTGATAAAAAGATTTAGGTAAATCATCTCTATTTGTGGAGACCGTTTTAAAAATCTTTTTTCCTGCTTCATAATTTATGTATTTTTGTCTTGATCGGTGTAGTAATATATTTTGTCATCCTTATACATAGGAGCTTTCGGGCTAGCACGCTATAAATGTTTGTAATGCATGTTACCATCCTGAATGTAACGAAACCTGTTTAGAATTATTACAGACAAAAAAGCGACAAGCATTATGTTTTCCTTGATATGGGTGATGTTAGCAGAAACGTTTCATTGATTTTTCTATAACTTTTAATGCATACCATTTGTGGAGTAATGAAAATGCAGTGGTAATTGTCATAATGTAAACAAAAATGGTATCCCACCTGAAAATGACTTTTCAGAAAATTCACTGGAGAGTAATCAGAATTTGAGACTTAAGGGGGCAGAGGTTGCCCTAATTATGCTGTTTTGATTCAGGCTCAGAGGAACTCCTTATTCCACTTAGGGGCTCTTTAGCACGACACATTTTGAGGGAGTTATTTAGCAAAAGTTTTAGTGATAATTGTCTTAGCTGCTAACCTATAAGCAATTTATCTCCTCACATGCGAAGAAAATGTATTCTTCTGTCACTGTGTATGGCAAATTGTCTTTTATTGCACCCTTAGATTTGGCCTACCCTCCCCGAATTATCTATATTATTTACTGTATTTATTCATCTATTATTTTCTCCTTACCACCCCATTAGTATTGTTTAGGCCATCTATCTTGGTAATCTTCCTCTATAAATGGAATTGCATTATATAGTTCTTCTATGCTTTTAAAATAGTAAGTATTCTGTGTTTAGTGCAAATGTTGTAGGAAATGTTCTATAGGCTAGTATTGGTTGTTTTTTGTTGTTGTTTTGTTTTTTTGTTTTTTGTTTTTTAGTAATTTGTCTGTATGTTCTTGCAATGGATCCTCTCTACCTTGCTTTTGTTCTTGTGTTTCTTCCCTCTGATGGAACAGCAAGTTACATGAACTCTCTTAATTCCTGTAACTGGTGTAGCAACACAAATACTTTTGAAATAAGTAGGCATGCCAGTGTGAGAGTAAATTAATATTTTACAGCATTCGCATCGTGCTTGGCTGTCCTGTGCACTTTGGCAGAGTAGGAGGAGACTGTAATCTGGACTCTATAAAAACTTATCTGCCAGGTGATATGCAAATAGGACTGTGTGCACACACACATACACCAGCAAACACTCCACTGTTAGCTCATAAAACAAGTGCCGTCCGCCAGTCCACGGTACCCACACCTTGTTCAGAAATGATCATCCTGTACGTTGATGCTGTGTGCGAAGTTGCTAGTAGAAACAAGGAAACAGTGACTGCGGAAGGGCAGATAGAATTCCGTGAGCCTCTCTTTAACTTGGCCACCACTGACTTTTCTAACTCACCAAGCTTCCACAAGGAGAGAGCCTCAGTGCAGTCCTCCCAGAGCTTCCAAGACGGTGTAGTCTAGGACAGCTTCCCTGTGTTCTCTGGAATCACAGATTACATGTGGAGAAGCCAGCAATTCAAAAACTTCCTTCTTTTGCCTATCAGTCCCCAGCATATAGTAGATGCTTAAGGAAATACTTGCTGAACGGATTCGCGAGAAGTAAGGAGGCTTTGGCTACTGTTTGTTACTTTGAAAAGTGTTGGAAAGCGATCGAAATTATTTTCCTTTCCAGCTGGGCTGTGCTCTTAAAAATAGTGAGTGTATATGGTTGAAAATAATCATGACTATGGAGATGTGCTGCCATGTACCCAGGGATAATTGGCTCACTTACCTGTTTACAGATTATTCACATTGGAGATCGTTTTCATAACTCCAGAATAGTTTCTTTCTGACATCCAGCATAATCCTGGGCCTCCGCCTTCCTACTGTTACCTGGCGTGGGCTTAGGAAACCCAAACTAAATTTAAAATCAGCCCAAACAAATATACACACCAGCTCCAGTAATCAAAGACTGCCTAGCAATGACTAGTTGGGGGGTTAGTTTATAACTGTGCTTTCTGATTCTTTCTGTCTCATGTGGGCAGTTGGGAATGACCAGTATCTAAAAATATTATTTTAATAGGGCTGAGAACTCTGCTAGCAGATCAAGTCTTCAACTTCTTCCATTTCTGTGCATAGGTCTTTACCTCACAAAAACTACTACGAGCACCAAGCTCCCTGATGGAAAGGTATATGGAAGATTCATTCATTCTCCTTTCATCCGTTCGCACATTCACTCATTCATTATACAGTGGATGATTTTTCCTCAACCGTTTGCAAGGCATTGTGGCACAATGCACGTGAAATAGACATGCATTCAAAGAAGCAATAATTTAAAATCCAGTGGCAAGTCCAGTGAACATGTGCATACTTTCACAGTTTATTCTGCATTTGATACATTTTTCTATCCCATTCGACCGCTATGCTAATAACTGTGCTTTTTTTTTTTTCTTTCTTTTTTTTGGTGATTGTTCCTGAAGTTGCATGTTGATAGTAATACATGACATGTGAAAATTAGACTTTGGCTCAATTCCTATTCAATCCATGCCCATTTCACCTGATCTCCCTGTGATTACCAGCATGTGTTTATCAGATGATCGGTTAGAATCATTAGGGAAAAGAATGACAGTCCCTGGCTCAAATAGGGAGGTCAAGCTCTTCTTTTGATTGAAGGGAGGACCTTTTTTGTGGTGGTCTCCCTCTGAGCCCTGTGGACTTGAACCAGGCTGTAATTCTCATAAGACAAAATGTACAATTTGATGTCCTTCAAGTTTAGATTTCCGTATCCTTAAGGTTGGGGTTCTTTTTGGAAGCTGTTTGTCCTGATTTTCATTTTGGATTTTTTCTTCTCCCCCTCCCCCCACCTCGTCCACCGCCTTGACCCCTGCAGAAGCCCCGAGCAGCAAGTCGCCAGGGTGGTCCGTTCAAGCCTGGGATTCCTGTGTCATCCTCGCAAGGCGGACCCCTCCCCCACGGCCACTCCAGGGAAGTGCGTCACATATCAGGTGAGACTTTGGCTATGCTTGTCTGGTTTCCATCCGAGGATCCAGCCTGACCCGGAAAATCACCTCGTGCCCACGCTTTCGCGTGGCGTGAGTGGACCATTCGCTGCCACCACCTTTGCAGACTGCATTCTGAGGGAGATTTAGAAATTGCCAAGAGCATTTAAAAAAACAAAACAAAACAAAACAAAACCCAACTTGGCTTGAAGTGTCTCTCTTTTTGGCTTAATTGAGAAGAAAGTGGTTCATGAAGAAGTCTGCGTTTGACCTGGTGACGATTGGTGTTTGCTTGTTAGACTTGAGCCTGACCGTCTTCGTTGTCCCCTTTTCCTTAATGTGATGAGACCGTTTTGCTGCCAAACTGTGACCGTAAGTGACAGTTTTCGTGTCTTAGGTTTCTGTCGTAGCGTGCTTCAAGTGTAGGGAGACAGAGGCCTGTCTGTTCAGTGGCAACTGGTCTTTGTCGAATCTTGAATTTCTTGGTGTCTGTTTGGATTTTACAACTTCCTGATTGCCTCACGTACAGTAAATTTTTCTGGCCTGGAGAGTTTTGCCGACGGAGAGTGTGTGCGGTGTTGATGACTCATGGCTCTGTACTGAGGGAGGGCAAGAGGATCCTGCCTGCATGAAATCGGGAGACATGGAAGTTAAAAGTTGGGGCGAGAGGGCTTGGGAGCACGGGTGTAGGCAGCCAAAGGGGATTGTGAAATAGATTCCCCTCTTGCTGTTTACTTTGGGAGCAGTCCTGCTGGGACCTGTGGAAATGGACTCCTTCAGAGGTTCCCAAGCTTGGCTGGGCAACAGAATCACCTGGAAAGCTTAAAAAGAGAAAGAGAGAGAGAGAGAGAGGGAGAGCGAGAGAGAGACAGACAGAGAAAGGACTTGGGGCTCCAGCTCCTGAATCAAAATGAACCTTTAGTGATCTCTTGCAATTGCAATTCTGCAATACTGGAATTGTATTATTGTACAAGGGTTTGGAAACTGCTGGATTGGGTGGTCTCTGGGCGGCTCTTCCCAAGTCATGTTCTGTTTCCTTGCTTGGCGAGACACACAGTCTGCTGTTATCACACCTCACGTATAAAATTCTCGGTGTGCAACTCATTTATTGCAGGGTGGCTGTTTGCTTTACCGGAATGTTCCGTCGAAAAACGATTCACCAGCTTTCTTTAAGTAAAGGGCTCCCCTTGTATACCTAAGATGGAGTTTGTAAGTGAACATCTTATTCCCACGGCATCTGAGCTACGAGCACGGGGCTCCGGAAGCAGCCTGTCTGCTTTTAGCCCCTGCAGCTGCCAACATGTCCTGGGGAGTCCTGTTAGCTTTCTGTGCCTCAGTTTCTTGATGAGTAAGGTGGAGATAAGGTTAGAACTTTCTTTGAGGGCTGCTGTGAGAACGGCGTGAAATAGTGTGTGTTTATGGCGAAGGAGAGTACCAGTGTATGGTTTGTGATCTGGGAACATAGGTTATCTTTGTGCTCGTGTAATTTAACCTCTTGACAGGATGATTACCACGTTCTTGCTCTGTGACAGTGGCTCCTGGACCAGACATGACTGGGAGCCAGCAAATACACCTGTACCTTGGTCTTTGGACCGGCCTTATAGACATTTGCAGCTGTGCAAAACAAATGAGCTTTTTATTTATTTTTCTGAATGCTGCGTGAGTCTGTCTCTCTTGCTGAGATAGGGTACATACGTAGTGTTTTTCTCTTGTTGCGAGGTGGGAACCGAGAAGTTGGGTGGACAAATGAAGTTATTTGTGGTCTGAGTAAAAAGAAACAAAAACCGGAGTGACTCAAGCTCAAATTTAATGATTCAGGAAGGGTAGCCGGCGAAGTCCTGCTTGGGGGATGGGGCGGGGGTGGGGGCAGGAAGGGATCCCGAACATTATATCCTTGAGAAATATGGACCTGAATCCTTGACATTTTATGGCCAGTGGGTCAGGGAGGTGTCATTTAAAAGGAAATAGAGTAACCCCACAGTTACATGTCAAGGTGAGCTTCTTAAGGTCTACAAGTGTCAGCTGACTGGCCAGGGGCGAGACGCCTCCCCACCACTGCTCTGTCTCCTGGGGGTGTTACCATTTCATAGGCTGGGCAGAAAATCCTCACGTTGAAGTTTTTGGGGCACTTGTTTCATTGCATACGTGGTGAATACACATGCACCTTTTTTTTTTTTCCCCACCTGTGGTGTTTAAAAGAGAATTTCATTGTGAAAACACAAGCAACGAAAGATCCTATCTTATGGCCAATAGGTGCAGCCTACCGAGAAGACACTGAGGTTTTTATAGTATATTGGGCAAGTCTGAGTGTCTTATGAATACGTATTGTATTACCGGCAAAGTAGTGCCGAGTCACCTTGAATTCTAAGCCGCTGACATTTTCTGTGACTGCATTTAAAGGAAGCGTGTGAGCATTATCTAAACATTTTGCAGAAGTAATGGCCTCCTTAGAGCACTCACAATTGATGGTTAAACGTGAGCAGGGAAATAGTATCGTTCGTGCTGTACTCTGTTAGGTTCATTAAGGTGTTTTTTTTCTTTTTTAATTAAAACGTAGGTTGCAAGTATTTCTGGTTCTACTTATTTCATAAATACGGTAGGGCTCTAGCAAAGTTTCGACCTAACTTGCTCCCAGGCACCATCTATGTAAAGAAATGATTCATTCATTTATTCACTGTGTCTTTTTTGAACTACTACATGGTGCTGTGGGAATGCCAGTGAGTAAGAGCTTCCAAAGGAGCTTGCATTCTTCACGGTCAGGTAGGGGAAAGAAGAAATGTCCAGAAAGAGCTAATACAAAGCAGAATGGGGTGCGTTGTCCTTACTGGGGTAAATTCTGACACTGAAGGAATTTGGAATGACGCTGAGTGGGATGGTGAGGAAAGACTTGGAGGAGGAGGGATCATCTGAGTTCAGCTCTGAAGGCTGGTTAGCATTTCTGTGGGAAGAGATGGATGGAGCCTGGAAGACCGTGTAAGTGGCTGGGACACAACCAGCGAACGTGGGATGTAACCCCACAAAGCCATTTTGGCTGGAGCACAGGTGCTGGTGGGCACCTGAGTTGTAGATGGGGTGGGAGATACAGTTGCTGAGAGGTCTGAGCTTAAAAAGAGACCTTAAAAGGGGTCTTTGCACTTGAGCTGTGGGTTTGCCCAAAGTTTGCCAGACGGGGGGCGGGAAATGACTGTATTTCAGGGCTGACATCAGTGGGCGTGGAGTACCTGGAGGGAAGGTGAGCAGCCGTGGAGAGGAGCTGGGACATTGGCACAGCGCAGCCTTTGTGTGCTTGGTCTGGGGAGACCGAGGGGCAGGGGAGGCTGGTGCCAGGCTGAAAGGGTGGCTGGGCGGGTGAGCGGGTCTTCTCCCTGGAAGCTCAGCGCCAAACTACAGCTCAATGAAATCACGTTGAAACCTTTCTTCCTTTAAGACCTTAAAAAAAAGAAAGAAAGAAAGAAAGAAACCTGAGCTAATTTTAGCTACATCTAATATGTGTGTGTATGAAAATGAATGCCACTTTTGAAATTCAGTGTGCGTGGTATCTCTTTCCATTTCAACAAATGATTCCTCTATTTTCCACTAAACAGTTTTATTAAGATTTTCAGTGAGGCCCTGTACATATTAACAACAGTTCCAGCGTTTCCTTTGATCTTTTCCGCCGCCGATTTCTTCATCTCCCGTGATAGGCGTAAATCACCTTGTGCCATCCACTTGACCCTGGGGCAGTTGTTCATTTCGGGCAATTTGTTTTCTGTCCTTGGATAGAACGCATGAATATGGGTGTGTTTTGTAACTTTAAAGGCTTTCCTGGAGGCTTTTCATGGAATCTTTTGAATGTGACATACATACAACTCACACATGCGAGGCGTGGCTTTCTGGGCAATTTGGCTTCTTGTTTATACTTCATTAGTGAGCCTTGACTCTAGGATGAAAAGAGGCTGAGAGACATGGCTCAAAGTGAAGGGGAAGGCTGGAAATTACCTGGTTGTATGTCTCTTGGTGGGCAGTCTGCTTTAGTATATAAGTAGAGAAAATTTGCAGATTATTGAAGATTTTTTTTTTCTTTTTTGGACCTGGGTTATTCAGATGGCTTGCTTTTATTCCCCAAAATAGCTCAGAATGAGGCATTGACTTCCCCACCTTCCATAAAAGATGAGAAGGTGAGGACAGGAGCCAGAAGGATGGAGAAAACACCTCCAGGGGCAGATCATTCTGTCTGCACATATTCACCATGCATCTTCCGGTGAGAGGCATCGTGCTAGCTAGGCCCTAACGGATTTATAGAGCCCGTCAGTCATTCACACTCACTGTGTATTAACTCATTTAATCCTTACTGAAGTCCTTGGAGGTAGGCACTCTCAGTACCCACTCGGCAGAGGGAAACTGAGGCACAGAGAGAAAAAGTAACCTGCACTGAGGGAAACTGAGGCACAGAGAGGAAAAGTAACCTGCCCCAGGTTGATCAGCGGTTCAGTGGGGGGAGTCCTGCTCGGCTCCCATTCTGGAGCCAGGCGTTGTCTCTCCAGCCCGGAGCCCTGTCCGTGAGAAGCTTACAGTTGAGTGGAGAAGACTGGGCGTGTCTGGGAGTCATGGTTAAAGCGTCCCGGTAGACATGCAGCATCCTCGGGGAGGTCCAGATCGGGGAGGGGCTCCTGGACGCTGGGCCTTCCGTCTGGGTGCTCGGCCATCTGCTCGGAGTTGCACACAGGCTGTGCTTGAGGTGTCATCTTCCCTCCCCTCACTCTTCCTCATGCCGCCCTGAGATTTCAATAATTATTAATTGAAGAAAGTGATGACAGTGGCAGTATGCTTATCGGTGTTCCCCAGGATTGGCTTCAGTTGGGCTCCAAACGCCATTGGGCATCATGAGTCCCAGGGAGACGATGAACTTTTGACTCTCTCGAGAGCTTCCCTGGGTCATTGCTCAGCTGGCAAGATTTGGCAGATGATACAGCCTCCTCACAGCTCCAGTTTGCTAGGTGGTGGGGCTGGCAGCGGATGCCAGTCCC